CATTTCTTCAAAGATTTCCTTCCATAAAAAGCGTGCAAACAAATGTTGGCGAAACTTTCAACATTTTGTTAAAGATTCTGCTTCCATAAACATCGGTGTAACAATAAAAAGGTGCACTTTTTTGGGGGGTTCTGAACCATATTTTTGGCGCCAAATAAGTGCGGCGGAATCAAGTTCACCGCCTTCCCGCATGTTTCGCAAAAAGTGCACCCCGGGAATCACTTTCGCTGGTTCGAAATAGATACAAAGGTATAGCTGTGCCAAAGCTTTTGCGCCAGGGAAGAGCCTTGCAGAGCCCGCAGGGGGCCGGAGGGGGCGCCGCAAAACAAAACGCTCCCCCCTGGTCGCACAACTAATAATAATAATGCATTATAGGAGGGGGGTCGGGGGAGAGGAGGAATGAGAGAGGGAGCTGTGGGGTTTGGGGTTTCTTATTCGACACACTTCCCCGTAAACCCTCGTTTCTTATGTAGTAGGGCAGCGGTCGCCGCTGTGTTTCTTATTGAGACATTTCTTATTGTGTGACCCAGATTGAGCTATGTTTCTTGACCCTATTTTCCTATTTTTCGTGAAAAGTGAGCCTCAATTTCTCAACAAAGTATTTCTTAACTGCGGGCGCTCAAATATACTTGCCCCCGAGGGGTCCGCAAGTCAATAGAAATCAACGCAGATACTCTGGAGTCCTCCACTCCCTCTGCGCGCTATGCGAGGTAATAACTGAGACTAGGAGTCACCATCGCAGGCCGGAGAGAAAGAGGTACACCCCCTTGGTTCAATCTTGGTACTTCACAACGCAAGCAGAAACAAGGCCATCTGGCACAGAAAAGAGAGAAAAAAAGAGAGAATAAAATAATAACTTGTAGAGAAACAGACAAAAAAAGGAAATGCTTAGACACTTGTTCAAACAGAAGGAAAAGTAAGGAAAGAGACAACATAGGTCTAACGATTAACAGCGAGGACAAAAAGGGACCAGGCCGAAAATAACAAGAAACAAGAGACAGGAAAAGGCACACGGTGGAGAGACCACTAACGAACAACAAGCAAACACGCAAACATGGCCAACCAGAGATTCGTTGTATGTAATGGTACGTCATCACTAGTGGGGGGTTGGTGCAATGGTGCATGCAGCGTTGGGCGGGGCGAATTGGCAATAGATATTCAATCCGGCACGTATCGCGCCACTCGGTCCGTCTCTTCTCGTTTGCTTTCTTTCTTCCCTCGCCGTCTCGTCCGTCTCCTGCCCGTCTTCTGCCCGATTGTTTGTGTGTGCGTGGGTGCTGACTCACGTTGCCCAGCAAACGGTTTTGAGTTGTGAGGCCCCTCATCGTGAACATGGTCACCGCGAAGAACTTTGTCGGTACATCCGGCTACATTCTGTAGTCATTTCGTAGGCGGTTCTGATTTTTCGAACGCCGTTGGTGGTGCATTAGACGCCCTAAATGTTCATTGGCATGTTTGGCACTTCGGTGGTTGGCTGTGACCGGGCGTGAGTATACACACCCCACACATGGGTTAAATACCAGCAGGTGGCGTCAACGGTGCGGACCCAACTGGCGGCCCTGGGTGCTGCTCTTCCTGGCAAGCTGTCAGGTGGGTTTGTTTTTCGGAACAATCGCGCCGGCTCGACAAAACATAACGATAGGTGGGAGCATCGCGACCACCGATAAGGCTCTAGCAGCTCCTTTGAAGGCTCTAGCAGCTCCTTTGATAGGTAGGGTGTGGAGATGATGCATAGATCCATCGCAGCACAAATAAATCCTTCCCATCAAACTCCTTGCGGCGTGTGCCTCACGCACACATACCGTCTTCGGTAATACACACGTGCGGGAGCTAGCCAGCAGAGAATCACTTCTTCCGTCACGCATGATGTGACCCTTGCCAAACATCATCTTCACATTTTACCCCTCATTTGTTAGGTACCAGGACGATCTAACCCCAACGACAAACGTGACAAGATGGAATCGCCTTCAACATCAAGATGAAATCGTCTTCAACAACAAGAGGGAATCGCTTCAACAAGATACATCGGAGATTCGTGTGACCCCTTCTACAAATGAAACTTAAGCTGTGATGGTGAAAGTATTCTACTTTTTAAATTCGGAAAAAATCAAGACAACGAAACCGAGAAACAGAAGAATTGCAGACGTTTATCTCATCTGAGAAAACGTACCCGAAGAAGGCTACCATGTAGCCGTCTAGTCTACGTCCTACCCTTGGCGGGCTCTTCCACAAAACGCTCTACAAACTTGCCGCACATCACCGTACCTGTATCTTTTGTAGTATGTTTGGCTCTATTATCTCACCCAAACATGGTTCACCTTCTTGGGCGTAGCATTCCAAACCCAAGAGAGATGCATTGTCATCTGTGCCCCCCGCTCCCCCCGAACGGAATTCACCTAGCCTCCATCACACCTCTACAAACCAAGAATCAACCATCGTCGAGGTGTGTGATATTCCTATTTCCTTCCCGCTCAGAATCCCTGCTGCAAGGGGTGAAAGTTGTGTACCCCGTCAATTACGTCAATAACTACACAAGGTGCGACGACACACCCGCTCGATCGGCGACGAGCCTAGGGGGTCACGTAGAAAACGTCGCGACCGTTGAGGTCCTGGATTGGGCGGTTGGTGGCGCCCGTCTCGCTCACCTAAAGGTAACGGCACGGGAGAGGGAGGGGGGGGACGACAACCAACCGTTTGAAATACAAAAGAAGGCATGTTCCATCAACCCTTGCAGTGGGTGGGAGAAAAAACGGCTGGGAGAAAAAGCGGCTGGAACTCGGCTTAATTTGAGTTTATTGTTGCCTATACGCTCAACTATTTATGACATCAGACAAAAAACAGCGGCAACACACCTTCGAGCCCTCGTGCAACGCAACCGCGCGGCGGTAGTTGTCCAGCTGCATCGTGCTCATGTAGTTGGGCTCGTTCATGACGATCCACCTCACGCCCTGCCACGACCAACACGGGCGTTTGGGTTGGACCCGAGTGAGTATATGAAAAAAAAACTTCCGCGTGTCATTTGCCTTCATCGCATGTCCAGTGTCGTATCATCGTACTCGTGGCAAGGGATGTATGCCTCAGTAGTCTACCAAACAGTAGAATGTAATAGTTATGTAGAGGACTTATGAACTCAATTGTTGTTCCCAGATGAACATCAAACGCAACAGCAGCACGCCACCGGACGACTACAGAATGAACACAGGCGACAGTAGGCTTCGCACGCGAAAAGGCTACACCCACCTCGGAGCACGGGGGGGTGGTGAGCGACCCGGAGTAGGTGGTGAAGCTAGGGGTAGAGGGCAAGAGCGAGTACGCCGCGGCCATGAACTCCTCCTCGGCTACGTCCTGGTTCAAGTCCATCACGTTCCACATGGGCTCCAGCTGTCGTCGGGCGCGAGGGGGGGGG